GTTGTGGAAGCTCAGCCAGTCTCCTGAGCATTTCCCCAGTGTCTGGAAGTGAACTTTCCCAACTATGTTCTTAAGAGACCCAAGCACGTTAGAGATGTGAATCCAGTTGCTCCAATACCTGTCAGCTTTATCCTGAACAGGAGGCCATTATGCATCAGAGATATTTTGCCTTTCCTCTGGTCAGCTCACACTGATCTTCTGCAAACTTGAATCTTGTTCTCCTTTTATTCGTTTTACACTCGCCCCAGACTCGCTGTCTTCTGCCATTTACCCTTTTGTAGTCCTGCTTCTAGCCCATACCGTCTCTCTTCTGTGGCCTTGCTAAATGTAAATCTTGTTACCCCTTCCTCAGTTCATATTCTGTACGCCCATGTTCTGTGATCCTACTCCCAGTTCCTTCTTTCTAATGCAGCATTTGATCCCCACCTTTATGAAAGAACTCACATCAAACAGCATCTCAGAATGCAAAAGGGTGCTTTATTTACTATCACTTCTACGGTACTCCTCCCTTAAACAGGACGTGGTTATGTTAACCTTCAACATTATATTGGAATCAGCAAATGTCTACTTATTTTTCTACATATCTACGTGGATAATCCCGTGGAGGCCAAGGTGGCTGGGCAGTGCTGCTGGCTCTCATCTTGCATACCCGTAGTACTGGGCAATTTCCCTGTCTTTCTCCCTCTGCCTGAAGAACTGCAGCTTCCCTAAAGAGGTGCATTTGGCAGCCAACTCTCTCTCTTGCTGAGCCTGTTTCTTCAGGGCTTCGCGCTCGGGCCTCTGTTCTGCTCTAATGGGGCTGGACATGACCGGCTGAGGCACGGTGGGTTCCCTCCAGGGAATGGGTTGGTGGCTGAAGTCTTGGAGGAGAAATGGATGTTGTGACTGAGGCAGGGGCTTGTGCTTGGTCACTGCAGCAGCAACAGGCCCCCTTCTGAGAGAGGCAGAAGGTGCTGTTTCCTGGGGTGCAGGCTTAGATGTTGCAGACTGAGAAAGCCCAGGCTGTTTTGAAGTGGTCCAGTGTGGCTGACTGGCATTTTCCAGGACTGGCTGAGTTGGTTTGCCAGGACTCAGCAGAGAGGTGTGGGCAGCTGCTAAGTTGGAGGGCTGAGCTGTGCTATTAGTAGCAGCAGCCTGGACGGAGTAAGTGGCATTGGGTCTCCGTGAGGCTGGACGCTGTGCCCTTCTAGAAACAGGTCTTGCTTGAAGCTTTTCTGGGCTGGGAAAGCGCAATGGTATTAACTTCACCTGTCCAGGTGGTGGGAACTTACACAGAGATGCAGATGAATCCTCTGTTTTGGCACTGCTGTGTTGGTTCTGGGAGCACTCTTGAGCATTCTCAAGCCCCTTCCCCTCCTGTGGGGCCCTCTGATATGGTTTGGATGTTGGTGATGTCTTGGGGTCTTTGGTAATACTCAGTTTTCCTAGTGCCCAGGAGGGAAAAGAGCCTGCTATCTTATCTGCCTTCCTCCCTAATGGATGGAAAACCTGCACAGACTCAAGCATATGCATGCCTAGACAGGTGCGAGGCATTTTAAAGGCCTCTTGGCCCATTGCGAATTGGTTTCTCTTGCGCTTCATGCAGTGAATGATTGGTTTTCCTTCCTCCTTGAGTTTGTTGCTTTTGTTTTCTCTGATCCTCTTGGCCCTAGCTTGCCCACAACCCTTAGCTTGGCTGTTCCTGCTAGCTGCTACACTCAGGGGTTTGCTGTTCCTCGACTTAGCCATGTCCATGGAAGCCCTATCACTGGCTGCTCCACTGCAAATGAGCTCTTCTCCCCTTACCAGGCTCTCAGGGTCCTTCAGCCTGACTTTAGCCTCAGGAGCTTCAGTGATTGGCCTGAAGGTTTTATATTTGTTCTTCCTCACTTGAGGTGAGGGACCCTTTGGGATGCCTGAGTTCCCCTGCACCTTATTCACCTTGATGACTCTAGTGTCTCCAGCTTTGATGGCTGTGGGATGATTGCACTGGTCAAGATCTTCCAAGGGATGAAATATCTGGGGAAGATGAATGTCCTCCACCAGGACGGCAACATCTGCCCACCCCGGACTACACTTACTTCCCTTGTCAAGATTCCCTGGGTCCTGGAGACTCAGGTGGCACTTGCTCCACAGGGCATCTTCAGAACCAGACTTTTCTTGGCTTGGAGGATCACCAGAGGGCATCAGCTGGAGAGGGCCATGGGTCGCTAAGGTGAGTAGAGGCAGATCTTGGTTACCTGCTAAGATGTGATGGGCATCTAGAAGCCTTGCATGCTTGCTTCTCATCTCATCCGGGTTCTGCTTCTCTGGTTGTTCCTGGGTTGTATCCAAGGCCAAGAGGTGAGTGGAAGTCTGCAATGAAGCTCTCTTGGAAATGTCTCCAACTTCAGTTGAGGGGCTCCTATCAAGCAAATGTGCACTTCTGCTAGTGCATGATTCAGGGAACTCCAAAGGCTGTGGCACATATGGTGCCTGGCTTGGCACTTGCCACTCCAAGGATGTCTCTATCTCTGGGGAAGTTTTCTTCCCTGCAAAGGAATCAAGAACAATATCAGTCCTCGCTGAGTGAGTTCTTCTCCTTTCATTCAGCACAACACTCAGATGCCAACCAACAGAGCCTTTCCACAGCTCTTCTTAATGATCATGGACAGGATCTCACTTTAGGAGCTAGGAGGCAGTTGTTCTACTTTTCCCTGCTTATCACCTGATGTCTTTGTTTCATGGCTTTCCTTTTAGGTCCTGGGATTGTTCTTAGTCAAAGGAAACTAAAAGTGATTTTTAGAACAAGACATGATTTGGGCATACTGGTGCAGAATTGTGTACTATGCCTAAGGCCCCGTTCTCCATCCTATGCACAACACACCCTGTACAAACAAACACACATGTATGCAGGCATGCACACACATGCACAAACATGTATGGGTGTGCAAGCCTCTATATATGCACACTCACAGATTTCCTCCAGTGTAGAGTCCTTCTACGGGTTCCGCTCTGTATGGTCTACTCTCTAGCTGATTCAACAATGCTTCTTGCCATGGACTAGGAGATAGAGGAGGTCTTCCTAATGTAAAATGTAGCAGGATAGATATTGAGCCATGTGCTTTGAACAGGATCGCTAAAACCCAGGATCATAAACCTTGGAGAAAATGAACGAAAATGAAACTATCCTTACCATCATATGTTTTGAAGTATCCTCCAAAGGGACCACAGCAATAGAAGAATGAAAGCAATTGCTTTGCAGGGAGGGTAAGGGGGTCCTCATCCACAGGATCTCTGAAAGGTATGTCCTGCCTTACTGGGCTCTTGTGGGAGGGTCTATTCAGTGCAGCAGCGATGGACATGATGGAGCTATACATTTCTTATTTATTGAGCCTGGAAGTGGAGTGACCTGATCCAAAGTAGTTGGTAAAGTCTCAGGACTGAATTCTGCCTATCTCTTCACTTACCAGTACCCAGATGAAGATTCAGCCCTCCTTCAGAAAGCTAACTTATTGCTTTCCTTTCTTGCTCTTGGTACCCACCTTAGAAACTTGTTGCAATGTTTGCTGGAGCAGTTTCTGACTAGTAGATGGCAGAAGTAGAGACGCATTATGACATTTGTGAGCTGAACTTCCTTTACTAGCATCACTACTTCTGGTTGAGGGACACTGGCCCTACTCCCTATATAGAATGCACAGCCACAGGGTTACATGCAGGGGTCTAGCTCTCCAGACAGCAGAGGCTACACTGAGCCCTGAATATAGTAATAGCTGTGCCCCTGATTTGCAATATGTGGTGGTGGTGTCCCCTAAATCAGGCTGGCAAAAGGTGATGGAAATATGAGAATAATGGCATCGGGATGAACTGTCATAGTGTGGAAGCAAGTGTTGTGTTCTGGTCAGTGATGGTCAGTGTGAAGGCCTCAAGGGGCAGATTCCTGTTTTCAGAGCTTCCCCTGATATCCCACTGCCAAATACCTGGAGAGGAGGGAGCTGAAGTGGACATCTGGCTCTGGCTAGCAGCCCTCAAAGACTATTTGTGATACAGTGTTGGTACAGGTAGGCTCTAGCAGTGACTGCCTGGAAGCAGGTGGCAGAGGCTGAGGGCAGGAGCCACGCTGAACGGAGAACTGGAGCCCACAGTCTGGAAGAGTTGGAAGCACTTTCTGTTAAGGAAGTGGCTTGGTTCAGTGGGAAAAGTGAGAACTGAAGAGGACTGGAACTTCCAAAAAATGACAGACTGAGGGCATTTTCTGTGAGAAGGAAGAGGGCCATAAAACATGGGTATCAGAAGCCAGGTGAGGTGGTACATACCTATAATCCCAATACTTTGGAGACTGAGGCAGGAGGACTGCCATGAGTTCAAGGCCAGTCTGAACTACATAGTAAGACCTTGTCTCAAACAAACAAATACAATAACAAAAAGCAGCAGCAAAACATGGATGAGATTGACAAATTTTTACACTATTTGACTAGCAATATTATCTTTCCTAAAGTTCTTATAATCATGACGTCTGTGATACCACTATTCAGTCAGATGCCAGCAAACACTTTCAGGTGGTCTTTCAGGGCTAGACTGGTTTAGAACTCTTCCCGTGAACTGCCTACCTCTTACCTGGCTCATGAAATACCCAAGGGGTTTCGTTCATACATGCAGCAGCCTTCTCTCTACCCTGGGCAGCCCTTGAGCCTGCACTCCTACTGACTCATGACCCTGATTAGTGGATTTGAAACCTTTCAGACCAAGGAGATCCTTAGCGAACTTGTAACCTTATCAATTATGGGCAAGGACACTGACATGAGAGGGGCCCCTTAGACTTGTTCAAGTTCTCCCGTGGTTTAATATTGGGAGCAGGTTACAGAGCCTGACTCCTCTGTCAGGGTTTTGTGTGGTGAGCACAGGCCAGAAACAAGAGGAAAGAAACTTTACAGAGGCTATTTTGTTATTCACTTGGTAGGAGACAGTATGGCTCTTGCTGTTGTTATCTTCGGTGTCTCATTTTGCAGGTACAGGACTCTCCTTGTCTCCCAGGGGTCATTTATAACTAGGGTGGTCTGGAAATTGTAAGGGTCATTCTTTCCATTCTTCAAACCTAGCTTCTGCTCCTAAGTCATTGTGACTACTTGAGGGCCAGTTTCTCAAGAAGTGATTTTGGGAAGAAAAACTTTCTCTGAACTTTCTGATCTACAGGTTACTGCTCTACAAAGTGGTCAACCAAGTAAGCACAGTGACAGTTCACCCATGAGAGAAAAGGACACATTACACATACATAGATGGAGGTGGAAGAGGTGCCGGAAATGTAGAAAGTAAAATGAAGAACTATAGCATCACAGAATGAAAAGGTGCAGATGGATATTAATGAAAATTGAAACTAAGCATCAAAGAATAGTTCACTTACTAGTTATTTAGCGAGCTTGAAAGCATAGTGAGTTAATGAAGAGAGGAACTGCTGTAGAGATGCAACGCTAGGAAAGCGAACATGATTTACTCTATTGTAGGGAACTCACTAAGCCAAAAACAGGCCATGCTGGACAGTGATTTTGAATGCACTTCTCCCAAACACATGAAGGCAGAGAAAAGATGTCAGGGAAAAGTGTGTAAAAAGCCTGAAATGGCAATAAACGTGAACATGGTGGTGGTCATAAGTTTCATAATGCAATAAAACCTAGTATTGAAAGTGGACATATTGGTGTGTGTCTGTAGTTTCAGCATTCAGGAGACTGAGGCAGGAGGATTTCTTCAGCCCAGAATTTGGAGATTAGACTGGAAAACCCAATGAGACTCCATCTCAGAGAGAAACAAAATCAGAAACAAAAATGAGAGAAGGAAAAATAACTGCACAGTTCCACATGCAAAATAAGTGTAGAGGAATTCTGTTATTGGCTCATTCACTTTTGTGGTGAATACCATCCCCACCAAGGAATAAATGTTCACCCTTCCAGACAGGTGTTACATTTGATATCGTCACATACCAAGCTGGGGAAAATACACTGAAAAGGGACTGTGAAGGTTTTCATTTCTCCTCCCAACCTAGCAAATAATCATCTTAAACATTTGGGAATATATGTCAGTCCTAAAGCCTACCAAATCCATCACTGCCAGAACATAATGAAAATGATACTTTTTTTCCTTGCTGCTTGGTATTTTTGTTTTGGGTTTTCTTTTTCTTTTATTTTTTTATGTTCCTGTATGTTACCCAGTGCTATAGTTGGTATTCTTATCCCTTTTTTTTTCAATCTGTTTTTGTTTGTGTGTCTCTGTCTTTGTAGTATTGGCTAAAGTAGCCAGCAGTACTGTACTACTGACCTGCATCCTGAGCTCCTCTTTCTTTGTGTGTGTGTGTGTGTGTGTGTGTGTGTGTGTGTGTGTTATGCTTAGATAAGGCCTCACTTATTTAACCAGGCTGGCCTTCAACTTGTGATCCTCCTGTCTCAGTCTCCCATGTAGCTTTGCGCACAGGAGCTAAAACGATTCTTTTAACTGTAAGAAATCTCACAGGAGCTCATAAATTTGGTTTAGATAAATACAGTATGAGAGATGTGAAGCTTGACATTGTCTTTCTGTCACAACGCAGGCATTTCTTTTGATTCTCAGTGTCAAAACGTTCATGAGTATGTATGTTAATGAAGATGTTGATACCAATACCAATACATGCTCTGTTTTATGAAGAAAAGTGTCATAAAGATGACAAACAGCTTTCGCCTGAAACTTACTGAGCACTCACAGACAGTGGTTCTTTTGACACGCAAGGAGTGAGACACATAGTTTTAAAAACTTGTTTAGTTTAAAAATCTATGTAAAAGAGAATGCTGAAAACTGTTTCCCTGGCCTTCTGGATGATGACTTTTTTAGCATGTATATAGGAAGAATCTTGGGTGAAACATCCAAAATGTTCCCGTTCAAGAACTATCAAGAGACATCCATGCTGAAAGAAGCCATAGGAATAAAACAACCAAACAATGTGACATTTACGACAAGGTGCTTTCCCTAAGGGAAACTCTGTGGTACCCTCCTTAGACTACTAAAGGAAGCATTTGCCAAAACTACTTCATTTTGGCCTTGTCTGAGATTTTACTGTGTGTTATTTCTGTGGTCACTTGATGTCTTCACTTGATATCTTTGGTCATCTTCAAGATTTCTTCCCAACCTATTATTTCCTTTTTTTGAGAAAGTCTCTGTGCCTTCCATCACGTTCTTTTTTGTTCTTTTCTCCTCCCTCATTTTGTGTATTTTCTTCTCCGCCCTCTCCCACTGATCCAGGCAGTTTCTTTTGGCTTGGGCTTCATGGATACCCTCCCAACTGTCCTTCTCCTTGTCTGAATATCTACCTGGGTACCTGAGTATCCACCAGCTCAGTCCTTGGCCCTGGCATTCATTCCCTTGTTTCTATTTTCACTCCGTTCAAACAGAAATCTCTGTAACATGTGAATAGTCCACTTTAAAGGACAACACCATGGAAGTGGAAATAGTGGCCAATAGGGGCCAATGTGGAAATAGTGGCCAATAGCGGCCAATGTGGAAATAGTGGCCAATAGCGGCCAATGTGGAAATAGTGTAGGGAGACTCGGTGATGAAACACCTTAGCATAGAGTTGCTGTTTTCTACCCCACCTAGATTAGTTTTCTTGTTTCTATGGAAATAAACACACTTAGAAGTCTCTGATCAGAGTCTCTATTCCCATGGCTTTCAATGGTCAGAGTTAGAAGAGAAAGAGAACAAAGCACAGGCAATAAGTCAACCTCAGGGAACAGATGAGGAAACATTTTTGTGCAAGAGTAAACCATCCATCCGAAGTCACATCCCTGCTAAAGGTTCAAGCCATGAGCCAAAGTAAGTCTCCAGATTCCCAGTTCAAGGCTTTCTGTAGTGCCAGGACTCAGGAGGCTGAGTAGGTATCTGGTCTCCATTCGGAAATTGACTTGGGCGGGGAGGGAACATGTAACACCAAACACCTTTGAACTTATCTCTCCTTACCTGACATGGTTAGAGAAGGGGCTACAGCACCTGCAGATGCTAAGAATGAAGAGATGTTCCAGGAGGTATTTGGGTGGATGAAGCCAAACTGAACAAGTGCCCAGTAGGGAAAATACTGGCTGTTCGCTGGCGGTGATACAGGCCTCACTTCAGACAACTCCACGGAAGCCCCAAGATTCTCCCAGGTAGTGGTAGATTTGGTAGTTGGATGATGTCACAAAGCAGGCAGTTGAAAGATCTGAGATAGCCAATAGGGAGGTCAGATTCACAACTTGAAGATGGGAAGGGGTGCAGAGCCAACAGGATACTTAGAATACTATAGTATGTAAAAGGTTAAGGGAACTCTGGGATGGTGATGTCTTGTGAGATATACATGAGTACCCCACTTACCCCAGCACACTTATCTTGTAGAGAACACCCAACTGTGTCTTTGATATTGTCTGTAGTAAAGTTATTTTATTATGTATACTTCACACAATAGTGGCTAGCATTCTCCCAGTAACTGTGGAGAGTTAAAATCCTTGGGGAAGGGGGAAAGAGACCTCTAGATAGAGCAGGGTACTCTGAAACTATCTGGTTAGTGAACTTGTTTCAGTTTTTGTAGACCAAAGGAAGGAACTAGGGAGTTCTTTGAGTAACATGGTTGGAGAGGAGGGTGAAGTCCATCTTGTAGTGCAATCTTGAGTGCATCTTGTAGGGGATGATGCCATCCAAAGCTCTTCTGTCTCAGCTCCTTCTCCTTGAGCTGAGCCGCGCAAACCAGGTGGATTGGAATCTCTGTCCTGCTCTCCCTCCCTCACCACCCTCACTGTAGAGCTTGCGTCCTGCACAAACTTGCATTCCTACACTCAGAGATGTTATTTCCTGTTAGCTGCCCAAAGTTGGGTATGTGAATGTATGTGCATGTATGCATGTTGTGGCGGTTAAATGATTGTGTCCACTTCAGTAAGAAACACCCAACTAAATTGAATCAGTATAGTTGTGTTGTGGCTGAAGAGATTTACTGAAGGAAGATCTACCTTGGGTAGGTCAGTGGCTCGAATGGAATACAAAGGAAATGAAAAAAGAAAGCTTATTTCTGTGCTCCAGGCTTCACCTTCACCTTGGACGTCATCTCCTGGGTTTCAGCATAGACCCTTCAGCCTCTACAGGTGGCTACTGTAAGCCTACCTTATAAATCCTGATATATTTATATATCCTGCATCACACCTGTTTCCCTAGTGAGCACTGATGAATACATATGTTCTAATGTATTTGTATTTTATTAGTACATGTTTACAGTGAGTACTGTTTGCTTCCAAAATGAGCAGTTGGTCCATGTACAGAGCGCATCTTTATTCTTTTCTTATCTCCTTCCTTCTACCTCCCCCATCTCCCATCTCTTGATCCCCACCCCATTAGTGTCCCAGTTCCTTCTTCACAGACCTCTCAGGATTCATCCCGTTCTTGGCTGTCTCTGACTTTCCCACCATCCCTCTCGACCAATGTCAGTATGTCCACACCTCCCTTCTATTATGATCAGCAGCTCAGCCCTCACCAGGTAGGAGAATCATCTTCTTCATTTGTCTGCTAGGGGCATGACTCCCAGCAGGCCCCTCCCTATAAGTATCCCACAGGCTCCAACACAAGGCCACCCTCCCCACCTTGGATCCAGGCCCTAGAGGATAGCTGGCCTGGGGCAGGTCTTGGGCCAGGGCATGCCTGGCATGTACTGCATAGCCTGGTAAACCAGAGTGTCGAGGATGGTGAGGAGCAGGTCCACAGTTGAGTGGTTGTAGGGTCAGTGATCAAAGCCAGAGCAGGAAAGATAAGAGACACAGGTATGGCTACTATGGTGGATTGGTCGCCTAATAAGGAAGGGACAGGAAATAGGTAATGGCCCCAGGCAGTGCAGGCTTCAGGAGCGATGCCTGTATATAGCACCTCCATATTGTTTAGGTATCAGAATGCCTATTTCAAGTACCCAGAGTCCCTGACTTAACACTAGCCTCAGTGAGCGTGTGAAGGCCAGCCTCATGCCTTCCTCAGGCTTGGGTCCCTTGCCTGTTTTCTGATCCCTGAGGAGCTACAAAGCCTGGTGCTCTTGAGTGATCCAATGGGGCCAGTAGAACGGGGGCTGCTGGAATGTGTGGCCAATGGGACCCTCAGCCCAGAAGGACGGGTAAGCTCCTTGACCCAGAGCTGCAAGGCTTTAGGGTTCCCCTGAGGCTGTGTTAGTGGCCCAGTTGTGTCAGCTCCAGACACTGCAGGCGATTCCTTGGTGAGTTCTGATTGGGGCCTGCTCCTACCTCATTCCCAAACTGTCGTGTCTCTCAGCCTGCCAGACTGCAGCGCTGCTTCAGACCTTTAGGGTATGAGAGGAACAGGAAAGGTGAGGCTATTTGGGATATGGGTACTGAGTAGAAGGACAGCATCTTCCTTGTGGTCAGGGCAGGCCTCCCCATTGCCTCCCCCTTACCCACACCCAAACACAAACACACACCACAGATTCTCATGCAGGTGAAAGATGGTGTTAAAAGTACGAGTACAACAGGTGTCAGTGCAGCTGTGTGTGTCCCTGGTCAGGTAATGTGTAACTCCATGCTCTGGGACAGGTTCATCTGGCCAGCTTCTCCATTCAGGTCCCTGTCTTGTCACCTTCTTGTGTTCCTGGACAAGTCGTTTAACCTAAGCTTTAGTTTTATTTTCTGCACAATGAGACTAGGGTACTTAGCTCATAGGTAGTTATCATGAAGATTAAATGAGATAAGGTACATAAGATAAGATATTTAACACAAGCTGTGCCCAGTGGCACACACATGTAATCTTAGCTATTCAGGAGGCTGAGGCAGGAGAATCAAAAGTCCAAGGCTAGCCTGGGTAACTTAGCAAGACTCTGTCTCAAAAGGTAAAAAAAGGTCTGAGGATGTCTCTTCTCAACAGAGTACTTGTCTAGCATTCTCCAGGCCTTGGGATCAATCTCTAGCACTGCAAATACATAAATGAATAAATAAGTAAACAGTGTCTGCCCCGTATAAACTCTGAGTAGATACTTGCTGTTATTAGTTTAATTCAGAGCCACTGACCAACCAAGAATAAACAGGAATATATAGTTATCACCTTACCAGCAACCACTATAAATGAACCAAGGGCTTCAGGATCTGAAGACAGGGCTCTAGTCTCAATTCACCACACTTCTAGTAGGTTGAAATCGGAATGTCACGTGACCTGTGTGAATCTATTTTCTTCTCTGATAAACAGTAATAATGTTTGGGAAGCCAATGAGACTGTCTATGCAGAAATAGCCCTCAAACTGTAACTGACCATAAATGAGCATCTGTCCTGTGCTGGGCGTGCTGATATCAGGGAGCAGGCAGGCTGCAGTCTTCTACTCACTCACACCCACAGGGCTCTAGGCAACCTGGCATCGGGCATGTTCTGCGAGTTTCTGCAGCAGATCAGCTCAACGGCAGACTTCCTGGAAGTGGTACACATGATTTACCGACTACCCACTGGGGTCCGAGGGAGCCTGGTGAGAGGGCATACTTGGGTATGAGTGGGAGCAGGAAGGCTAGGACCCTGGGTGCAGCACCCTACCCATCCGCTCAGCTCTGTCCTAACCCTGCTTTCCTGCTCTGTCCTACAGAGGGCCTGTATCTGGGCAGAACTATGGCGGAGGATGACAATGCCAGAGCCAGAACTGACCACCCTGGGCCCAGAACTGAGCGGGCTTGACACCAAACTACTCCTGGATTTACCGTAAATGCTACACCTGGAGATACTGGATCCCCATTAAGCTCAGCTTAGAGTAGATGTGCCCTTAGGAAATAGCCTCACTGAGGCAGTTCTCTGAATGGTGGTTTCTGGATGGCATTTATAGCCAAAAGCAGGGGCTTTTATTCATATGACCCCACCATGGACAGCAGAGGGTGGCAACACTGCTTGCTCTGCCAAGTAATCTTCATATAGCTCAGGCCACATTCATGGAGTATGAAATGAGGGAGGCAATGGTCCAGTTCTCCCCTAGAGAACTGTAATCTGCTTACAGCACTGTGTTCAGAAGAGTGGATAAAAAGAAAATTATGAAATATGTGATAAATGCATTCAAATCCTTGAGGGGCTGTGAAGTAGAAATTATAAGTGGTTCCATGGGACAAGACTAGGATGAATGAGTTAAAATCAGATTTTTGCACAGTATAAGGAAAATAGAAGTAGTGAGTTCCTGATGACTGGAGCTGGCCAAGCCTAAGCTGGATCCCACAAGCCTGGAATGTTGTAGAGCAGATTCAAGTATTGACTGGGGAGAGAGATCTAAGGCTTCTTCGTCCCAGAGAGTCTAGGAATTTATGGCTTCTCACTCATGTGCCTCTTCTCTCACTTTAACCCCACCCCACCCCGTTTCATTTGAGCTGTAGTCAGAGTAGGACAAGGCTGGGGTTGCAGTCCTCTAGGGATTTGGAGATGGAAACAGCAGTTCACTCCATCCTTACATTTTTATAGCCCTTCACACAGATTTTGGCTCTTGCACAATTTGGCCCAGTTCCAGAACTGACAGCCCTGTATGGACTGCATGATATCACCTCAGATTTGTGGGCCAAACAGCTTTTTTCTCTAATGCCATTCAAATCCATTTAAATATCATAGTTCTCTGAGATAATTTAGATTAAGAGAAATTCGGTGGCTTAGGTGAAGTGAAAAATCCTACACCATGAGCCAGAAAACCCAAATTCTTCATTTGTGAAAGAGGGATAAGAAAAATTTGAATGGTACTTAACAGTGTCTGGAGCTTGCCAGCCCATTAGATCAGGACAATTGTTTCTTATTTCTTTTCAAAACACTAGAAATATGTCACTCTCTTTTTTTCTCCCTTCAAGCAAGCAGTGATAAGTAGCTTAGTGCTGTTTAATATCAGTCCCAGTCCAGGGTCCCAGGTCCCAGGTCTTGGTTTTGTGTTACATCTCTTCTGGGGAATGTGAGGTTCAGAGATCCCTTCTCAACTTGGCTGAGTTGTGACTGAGTGTCCCTGCTGTCCAATTACGTAACAGGATCCCGTTGATGGACAGACTGTCCAATGAATCCATTATGTTGGTGGTGGAGCTGGTACAAGGAGCTCCTGAGCAGCTGCTGGCTCTGACCCCACCCCACCAGGCAGCTCTGGCAGAGCGGGCACTACAGGACCTGGTAAGAGTCCAC